TCTGTTACGTCATGTACATGTCACCAATCTACATACTGGCGTGGATGCACCATTCCATATTGTGCGTCAACAGTACTGGCTTTTGGCGGCACGCAATTTTGTGCGAACAATTGTGTTTCGTTGTAAGCCGTGTTTTATTCAGCGCCGCGCCACTAGCTCACAAATAATGGCCAACTTACCGGTACCTCGTGTACAACCTCTTCGCTGTTTTCGTCACACTGGTTTGGATTATGCTGGACCTGTATCTATAAAAATATCCTCTGGCCGTACATCAAAGATCGGAAAGGCATGGTTCGCAATTTTCGTGTGTTTATCGACAAAGGCACTTCACATCGAAGTTGTAAGCGATCTCACAACTCAAACTTTCATTGCAGCATTCAAGCGGTTTTGGTCACGACGAGGTCCTATCACAGACTTATATTCGGACAACGGTACCACGTTCCAAGGTGCCAAGAAGAAGTTGGACGAGATGCGTCAGCTAGCTCTGTCTCACTGTCAAGACGAGGCTTTGGCTAATTTTATATCCAGCCAAAGCATATCATGGCATTTCATACCCCCGTCGGCTCCACACTTTGGCGGTATTTGGGAGTCGAATGTTAAGTCGATAAAGCTACATCTTCGGCGAGTGGTTGGCGACAGCGTTCTAACTTTTGAGGAGTACTCTACAATACTTTCGCAAATTGAAAGCATCTTGAATTCACGACCGCTGTGCCCGTTAAGTGACCATAGCCTCGACCCACTTACACCAGCTCATTTTTTGATCGGCGAACCACATACAGCTGTACCTGAGCCCTCTCTTCTGGAAGTTAACGTAAACAGGCTGCAACGGTGGTCGCAACTGCAAGCTATGGTGCAAGGGTTTTGGAAACGTTGGCACCTGGAATACATCGCATCATTACAACCCCGCAACAAATGGCAGCTTGCAAGAGAAAACGTCGCGGCAGGTACACTTGTTGTGCTGAAGGAACCGAACCTACCGCCTACTAAGTGGCTAGTCGGTCGCACTACCGCAGTCCACGCTGGTCCGGATGACAAAGTTCGAGTGGTCACCGTGCAAACTGCCCGAGGCATCTATAAGCGTCCTATTGTAAAAGTGGCCATTCTACCTCTTTTCTGAACGTCGTTCAGGGGGGGCGGTATGGTAAGAAATAAACGCGCATTGCATGAGTTCATATGGCAACATTACATCCTGACACATAGGTGGCGCTCTTTGCAAACCACTTTTACTTTCCACTTGTCAGCTACTTGTCAAGCCAATGTCAAATCATGTAAATATGTTTTCGGCCCTTTTTGATTTTTGGCCGTCTACGAACAAGCTGGACTTTTGTTGGGTAACATATAAAATACTAAATAAATCTAAAAATATACAGTCCATCATTGCGTTTTTTTGAAACAAGCGTACTGATTGAAAAAATTAATAAAATTAGTACAAGAGTTGAAAAATCAGTACTACAGTGGTTCAAATAAATTTTTTTTGGAAATTCATAAGCGCTACCTCAAATTGTTGTTATTTGTTATAAAAAAAGAGAAACCGGTTTTTTTTTTTATTTTGAAAAAAAAGTTTTCTTAGAGGTCGCGCTGNTTTTTTTTTTATTTTGAAAAAAAAGTTTTCTTAGAGGTCGCGCTGGTCGGTTTTTATAAAAACGCTGATGTTCTCATTTTTTTAATTTCTTGGCATGTTAAAATGCAGCTAAAAATTAGTTTTTTACATATAATTACTCTGGTATTACTGGGGAATATTCCCTTGATTATATACCAGTCTTGGGCAGTTAGAATGGGCCTAGTGCCCGAAAATATGCTC